TCCTCAGTACCACAAAACCAAACAAAAACTTAATGATACTGCTGTTACTATGTTACTATGGTACCTGAAATGATTACATAGATCACCTTGTAAAATAAAAAACGTGATAGGCTAAAAAATTAGAAACCACCATTTTCCATGTAAAGAGGATAAAAAGAATACAAAGTCACGGAAGCTGAACCATGTTTTGCTAAAGCTGAACTAAAAGTATTAGTGAGTCTATGATGAATTTTTTTCTTTTTAAATACTGGTTTTCTGGTTCTGTCCATCAAAAGATCAACCTAGCAGCGATAAGCACCACGAGTGCTAATACTGTAGCATCTAAACAACCTTGTCTTGTAAAAGCGCCAGAGACTTGGGGAGAAGAGGTTTCACGTCTGAGGACCGGTGACAAGGGGTAGAGATTATCATGCAGAATGAAAGGAGGTTATTGAACACTGCCTTAAAGGGTCCCTACTGGCAAAAAAACAAAGAAGTGTGAGCACTGGAAAAGCTTAGCATGAGGATGAATTAAAATATACTACATATGTTAAAATTCATAAATTCATAGAGGTCCTAAAAACAAAAACAGTATTTGGTCCCTTTTAATATCAACTGTATTTAGACTAAATTTTTTTTTTTTTAATACTGAGGATTGAATTTAGGACTTTGCACTGAGCTACATGTCCCATTCTTTTATGTTTTATTTTGAGACAGATTATCACCAAGGTTCTAAGTGGGATACTTAATTGGATAGCACAACTTTGCAATTGCTGATTATAATAAAGGACCTAGGTGATGACTATCTACCTTAGAAAGGCATAGCATGTACCACCTTGATGGAGTGGTCTTATAAAAAAAGACCGAATTTGAATCCAGCCAAACTTCTAGATTAACATCAACTTATATAGGCAGTCACCATGCAAACAGGAATGTATTAAACAAAACTCTGAGAACTCACTCAGTGAAATCCAGAAGGTGAGAAACTGCAGAAGTAATGACTCAGTTTACTCAACAAACTTCAGGAAAAAAGACTTAAGAATCGTAAGAGAAATATTAAACAAAAGCAAACGTAACTTGTTTAGATCTGATCTGAACAAAAATTACTGGCGCATCCAAAATTTTGAAATTTGAAAGATATATTCACATTTCTCTGATAAATGTGAACATGGTCTGGTGATTTTAAAGCCTTCTGGTTCAATTTTTGAAGTATAACACTGATGTAGTTAGAAACTGAGTCCTTATACTTTGACAATCTGTGACCTCCCATGGAATAATCCTCTGTATGTATGTGTATGTGTGTGTGTGTGTGTGCACGCGCGCACGTGAAGGAAACTTGACAGTAGATGAGGTCATATATGAAATAAGTGGCAGTGAGTTAATGACTGTCATAGTTGGATGTTTATTGTATTATTTTTTGTAATGTTAATTACGCTGGAATTTTACTTTTTAATGAAAATGTTGCGGCAGTGCCTGGCATATCACACACAATAGATGGCTCCCATTTAATTGATAGTGTTTTATCACTCATTTGCATTTCTTAGCATTTAGATCCTGGGTTTCTAATTAGCTTCCTCTCTTCTGATTGGCCTTGAGTCTCTTAAGCTGCATCCTACAGAACAAAAGCAAGTGTGCTTTTGTGTAGTATACGGAATGAAGACATTCTATAATACTAACTGTAATCCTTTAGGTAATACGATTCTTGACCTTTGTGTATTTCTTTTGTTCTTTTAAGTGATCTGCACTTAAATTTACAATAAGAAAAACAACCACTACATTTTGTTTTATTTTTAAATACTTGGGAGCTTTCCAGCCTTCTCAAGGCATTACAGTAGTTCCTTAACAGAAATGTCTTCCTAGAAAGCTGCTCAGTTGAGAACCTGTGAGATCCAACTCACAGGTTTGTACATAAGACCTGCACTGTGGGATGTTAGTAACATGGTGCAGATTATCCAGCCTGCTGTAACATCCTTAGAAGATTTAGGTTTGAAAAGAGGGCTTCGGAGGCCATCTGTACCTCTGAGAATCATTTTCAGGTGTGACTCACTGGTATGAGACCACTGGGTTGTCTAGAGATTGGCTTCTGGCTGGGTTAACCAGATTTGGCATGGGGAAGCTCTGCTGCATCAGAAATAAACTTGCTCCTCCATGATGGCGATGATCTCCATACTTCATAAAGATTTACACTGCTTTATTATTTATTATTTTCTTGACATAGTATATTTACATTTTAAAACATATACAGTACAAAGAGATAAGCAGTGAAACATCTCTTTTTCACTCCTGCTCCCCAGGAACCCAGTTTCTTGCCTAGAAAAAACCAACTTGATAAGAGAATGAGGAATGAGAGAGGAAGAAAGCCAATAAAGGCCATATTGGAATGTTGGGCATGACTATTGAGCGACACTGGGAGACAGTTTAAAATACACTTTGTCTTGTGGATCTTATCTCTACGTATTTGAAAGAGAGGGATACTTTATCTAGTGCAGTGGGACAATAGTGACTTCTCCACATTGTTCTATACCTTGCCTTTTTTCACTGTTTCTTGGTAATTGTTCCATATCAGTGACCAGAGAGCTTCCTCATTCTTTTTTTACAACTGTTCAGTTTTTCATTTACAGTTATATTATATTTAACCACCCTTTGTGTGTGGGGCGGGAGTGGCCATTAGACCGCGGACTTCACCTTCACACTGAGCTACATCTGTTGATTTTTTTTAGACAGGATCTCCCTAAGTTGCACGGGCTAGGCTTAATCTTGCTATCAGCCCACCTCTACTTGAGATGTGCACCATCAGGCTCAGCTGAACCAATTCTTTACGATGTCTCCTTCCATTTGTTTTTCCCATTTTGAGCACTGTGTTTAATAATTCATTCATGGAGGATACAGAAAGGATTTTAATTACTACAAAGAGCTCTGGGCCTTTATAACTTGCTCAATGGATTATATTCTCACTTTGTGTCAAATAAGTGCATGCTACAAATCTCACAACAGATAAATCTACTTATCTTTGAATAGGCAGCAGAGGGGGGCACACCCCTAGAGTGTGGGTTTAGGGTGGTTGGACTGGGGCCTGTGTGGGGTGGGATGGGTGGAGCAGGATGAGAAACTCCGCATTATTGTTTGTCCCTTGTGATTTCTGATCTTCTTCCCTCTCAGGGGCAAATGTCTTCAAGCTTCTACCAGGTGTTTCCAGGGCCACCGAGTCAGGGAACTGGTAGAAAAGTGCAGGAAGGGTAAGAGCTGTCCCAAGAAGGGCCTTTACACAGGACTGTTGGAAATGGGGGCAAAACTGCTAAAAAAAAAACCTTGCAAAAGCAGAAAGGGACCCAGGGTATTTTTAAACTCTTGCAAATAGGAGCAAGCCCAAATTTAACACTGGCTGGCTTTTTAATGTGGCTTTCTTCTTCACCCACCTTCCCTTCAAAGGGATGCTTGCTTCTCCCTCTCTTTGCCAAAGCATGGTTCAGATAGCAACTACTCAGCTCCGACAAACAAAGCAAGTTAGCACTTGTTAGAGTTACACCCAAGTAACAAAGGAAGCCGAGTTAACATAAAACCACACCTCCTTCCCCTCCAGGTGTCAAAGATAACCCTATTGAAGCTCTCCAGTCCAGCACTAGCCAGGCTGAAGAGAAGCCCAGCCCAGTAGGAAAGAGGAGAGTTACTTGGGCTCATCTACTCCTGCTCAGTTCCTGTACTCTCCCTCCCATCTCCTGTCCTCTCCAGCTCCTACGTGCAGAGTCAGCCTAATGTAGATATGCAAGGACAATTCACAATACCATTTTCTTTCTGTAAAATACCAACTTGGGCAATTTAAACTTCCTTTTTCATTCAAAATAAGCCTCCGAAAGGGTTTGAAAGGGACTGATAAAATGTATTTATGCCATGGTACCGTAGATTCTGCAGAATTATAATACTATAAATAATGAGTAGTGGTGTACTACCCCTTTTGCAGATATTCTTAACCCTTGAACCAAATGACTGTAAGGGTAATGGGGAATTTGGAGCATTAGTGATTCATGAACAGGAGTAGTGTGGGTGGAGTGTATGCTCTGGATCCTAAAGTCACATTTGGTTGCTATCTCATACATATGAAAAACACAGCTGTCTACATTTCTAAGCATACTTAAAATATGAATAAAACACTCTTGCACTGTAAAATGACCTGTATTTTCAAACTCCTTGGCTTGAGTGAAAATTCATCTCACACACAATGACCAAGATTCAGTCTAGGGCAGCAAACTGCTGCATGCTGGGATAGCTCTGAGCTCCTTGTCTAATGGTCTAGTGCTTTAAGAAGGGGTCAGGTCAGATTACTGGACTCAGGTCAGAATCTTGGTGATTCTTACTTGGCTCGGAATCTGTGCTCAGCTGATATTTTGAGTCTCCCCAGTATAAGACACAGACCATATGAGATGTACTTAAATTGTGCCCTGTAGATTGGTTTATAAAACAGTCAACTGCCTGCCTTAATTCCTAGGACTAGTTAGCCCAAAGGCTGGACCAAGAAGGTACTTGAACTGGCAGTGTGTGCAAAGCAGTATGCAGTGGCTTAGAAGAATCCAGCAGATTGAAAGTAGGCAAGCGAGTGTGTAGACGCATTCTTCCAACTCTTGTCTGGAAGCCACTTTACTGCAGCTTTGTGCTCAGTAGCTGTCAAAACCCCAAATTTAAAGCCATTGGCTTAGTGATTAGACTTTGGGTTTTGGGGTCAGGAAGTTAACTTGGGGAGGGGTGTGGAGTTTTTCTGTGGCTGTCTGAGCGACTGCAGAACTGTTTGATCTTTGCAGGCTTTGAACATGATATCTTGCTGCACTGTCCACGGCCTTTGGTGGGCTCTAGGCCACAGTAGGAGAACGTGAGACTGGGTCAGCTCTTTGACATTCAGAGGGAGCGCACCATTGGCTAGATAGTATCTGATGCAAAGCAGGAAGATGAAAGGAGGCCAGGGTGCCACTGCTGTGCTCCTTTATCCCTAGCCCCTGGGAGATACTGAATGCTTGTTATTAGCGACCAGGCTGTACACACGTCACTTAGCCCTAGCTAGGAAGAGGCAGGTTCTGACAGTTTCAGGAGACATCTGTAAACAAACCTCAGAGTGATGCCACTCAAGATCACAGATGTCTAGCAGAAGTCTCTGACCCTCTAGCCAGTCATTCTAACATTGAAATATGTGCAGAAGAAACTTATTTTCAGAGAATCCAAGGAAAAGCAATGGTCCAGTCTCTTAGAAGATGATAAATGCTTCCCTTCCTGAAAATCCAGTGGTGAGTTGATAGACACTCTTCCTCCTGCATTACCAAATATTCTTTCTCTTCCTACTGTAAATATGAGAAGGTTTTAGTAATTTTCTTGTTTAAGAAAAATTCCATGGAGTCATCTCAGAGACATGGCAAGTAATATCCAAGCAGGCCACTGTGGAGGGTCATTATATGCAAAAGCAAAGAGACAGACACAGGAAAACAGGTTCGACATTCTAAGAAAGAAGAGTTGGCGAAGGTCTGTCAGCAGGAGTGAGAAAGCTGGCTTCACAGAAGAGAATGACACATTTGGAGTCTCAGGGGAGAATTTGTCAGGGCTTAGTGAAGCAAGAATACCCTGCTTTCAACCTTTAGCTACTTAAAGATTTTTAGGGTCATAGAAGGAAAAATTAATCTAGAAACCTAAGGGGATGGACAGCATAGTTGTACATGCGATGAGAAGACAAAAGCAGAACTTGAAAACAGAATCGCAGCTCTAAAGATGAGGTTTCCAACCAGTGCCATTTAGAAGAAATAAACTGCAATCTACACATACATATATTTAAATCACTTTTTAGTAGTGATTAAGAAAGGTAAGAAGGTAAGAAGAAATAGCTACAATAAACTTTGTGACTATATTCTACTTAGCCCATGATATCCAAAATATTAGCATTTCAACATATAATCAATATAGTATTACTGTTTACCTTAACTTAATGTGTAATTAATTAAAATTAGATAAAATGATGAATTTAGTCCCTTGCTTTGTTAGCTACAAGTGCTGAATAGCTCAGACTGTTGATGGCTATCAGGAGAGGAGAGGAGATTGTGGAGAGGAGATTGTGGGTCCACAAAAAGGGCTATGAAAGTACACAGCCTTTGTAGCCTTTAAATATGGATCCAGACGACTGCTTTGCCGGAATACATATGTCTTCTGTGAGTCGGGGAGTCTGTCCTTTCTTCTAATACTTAGCTGTAGTGCTTGAATAACCTCCTGTGGGACTATCTCATCCAAGATAGAGAAACTACATCTTTCAGGAGATGATAAAGGCGTGGGAATGGATCCTAACCCACTGCTAATGTCTTCGTCAGTTTGGGTACACTATGTTTTTACCTCAGTACCAAGCTACCTCCAAATGTTGGTGGCTTTAGCCACCAAAAGTTTGTTTCTTACTCATAGTCTATGCCCTGGGTTGATGAAGGGAAGGATTTGGGGAAGAAAGGTTTGCTCTTGGTCCTGAGCTCAATCACTCAGGCATTTGCTAAGTGAAATATTGTTGATTTCAAAGGATGCTCTGGTAGCTCAAGTCAAATTATAGACCCCCAAATTGACACTAACCATTTCCTATCATTGACGAGAACTTATCCCATGGCTGCACTTGATCTGAAATTGACTAGGATGTGCAATCTCCTACAATGTTCCAAAAGATAGGAAGAGGGGTAGAAAGCTGAGGAAATGTGACTATTGACTGTATCATTGACTGGCTGTCTCATTGTCTTTTTGACTCTGGTTGGCTGCTGAAAACTTACATCAGATCATACCCAGGACTGAGAATAGGGTTCTGTGTTGAGCATTTAAAGAAGTGGGCCATGTCTGTTTTGTTAAGGAAATTCTTACTGCTGTGAATCTGTGCTTTTGTGAAGATTTAGGAAGGCAAATTTTCCAACTAGAAGAGGTTCAAGTGGAAGAAAGACAGAGGGAAAAGTGTTTTATTTCTTGCTCTGGCAATAAGTCAAACATACAGCTTTTCAGTTCATATGAAAAGGAGAGTAAGACATTTCTACTCAGAGGCTGGACTTTGTTGAGAAAGAAAATACAAAGGAATTTAGGGAGCAAATTCATGTCAAGCACTAGATAATACAAAAATACAACAAATGTATTTTGAAAGCAAGGAGTGTGAAAACATTAATAAGAAACAAGGAGATTATTTAAAATGGAAGCTATTACCAAGCTTACTTTTGAATTAGAGAATCATCATTTTTTGTAGCAGGAAGTCTTAACCTCAGTTCACAGTTTTGAAAATTAAGTAAGAGAGGTTTGGATTCAGTGCCTGAGATTAGTCAGTTGTGAATCAATAGCCCATTTGGCACTAAGCTCTGGAGTCCAATTATCTGACCAGTGATTATTCCACCCTCGTAAAACAGTTTCGACATTGGACAAATCAAGGCGATTCTCATTATTTCCTGTCTTTGTTTTCATTTTTAGCTCTGACTTCAAGTCTTGGTAGATGAAGATAAACCTTCATGATCTTCCTTGTAGATAAAAATAAAGCTAGGAAATTGTTAAACACTGAATTATGTCCCCTCCAAATGCATGTGTTGAAGCCCTAACTCTCACTTTTAAAGAGATAATTGAGGTAAAATGATGTCATAGCTGGGTCATAACTGGGACCCTACTCTGCTGGAACTGGAGTCCTTATAAGAAAAGACTAAAAGCACCAGACAGCCCCCCTCCTCTCTCCATGCACACAGGAGAAACATTACTTAAGGACTCAGTCAGAAGTTGGTTATCTGCGAGCCAGATAAGTCTCATCTGAAATCAGTGTGATGATCTTGGACTTCCAGCTTCTAAAATGTGAGAAAATAAATTTCTATTGTTTAAGCCACCTGGTCTGTGGCATTTTGTTATAGCAGTCTTAAGACAACTCACACAGGGTTTGTCCCATACTTCTATTCTATAGTAATGTAAAATGTCTTATGAAGGCAGAAGAGGAAGACTATATCATGAATGTCTTCGACTATTACTGAATTCAAGAAAACCAATACTTTTGGTTGGAACCATAATAATAGTAGATGTTGAAGATCACAGGAAGCATGATAAGACATTGCTTTCAAGAAGCAGATAGATGGAGATACAGAAATCTTCATAGTGAAAATCCCTATGGACTATAAACAGTTGGTTGGCCTAGTTAAAAGTGATTTCTGGGCTGGAGATTTAGCTCAGTGGCATAAGCACCTGTCTGACAAGTGTGACGTTTGAACCATGGTACCAAAAAAAAAAAAAAAAAAAAAAAAAAAAAAGCCCAAAAAACAAGTGAATTCTGCTTGGGAGGTTGAAACGCTTCCCCGGGGAGCCAACCTTCTTCCTGCATCTGCATCACACATACTGTATTGGTCAGTACAGTGTACTACACAATAGCGTATTACTCCTGTAAAGGAAGTTGCTGTCAAGCGCCTCTCTCCTCGCTCTTCCCTTCTCCTTTCCTTTCATCTTCCTCTTCTATTTCCTACCCTTCCTCTTCTTTCTCTCATCCTTCTCTTCTTCTTTCTCCTCTTCCTTTTCCTCCTCTTTCTGTCTTCTTCTTCGTCTTCTCCTCCTCCCCTTTTTGCTTCTCTCCTTTTCCTGCTCCTCTTTTTTTTTCTGCTCTGCCTTCGTTTCCCTCCCCTTCTCCTCCTCCATTTCTCCTCCTCTTCCTCCTTTTCTTTTGGGGCACTGAGAATTGAACCCAGGGCTTTTACGCTGAGCTATATCCACAGCCCATTTTTTAAATTTTGAGATGGGGTCTTTTTAAGTCATTAAGTTGTCCAGGCTGAGATCAAACTTGTGATCCTTCTGCTTCACTTTTCTAGAGTGTTGGGATTACAGGCATATATCACCACATATTTCAGACAAATATTTCTCAAAGATCAGTTAGTCAGAGGACCTGACATTTCATTTTGCCTGTAGGTTCATTTATTCCTTCATTGTAAACTTCAATTTTCTTGTTCCTCTACATCAGGGATGCTAGTGGTATATTTTTTTCTAGTACATACTCTGAGTACCTTTGTCAATGTCTGGCATATTATGAACTAAGTATTTATTGAATAATCATTTCTTTTGACTGTAAAAAGATGTAAAAGGTATATATTAGAACCATAAATAAATCTATTTCAACAGATCTGTTTACTTGGTTGAAATGCAAAAGAGTATATGGTATGCAAAAGAGATGGAGATTTGTAAGGAGGTTCTTTCAGGCTGATGAGATATTTTGAATTTGTGGAATTTGAGGAGATGGCCAGATATAAGGATGTATCCACCAAGCATTTGGAAAAGGCAGCCTAGATATAAAGATATATCTATGGGACTCATCTCAGAGGAGATAGCTGAGGTTACACACCAACAGAATTGGGATGAGACTGGAAGTGATAGCAGTATATCAGACTTCCTGCTTTAAGGAGGCAAGTATATTCCAAATTTCACTATTCCACCTCTATCCTCCCCAGCCCTTCTCTCATCTGGTAAGATGTGCTGTCCAACATTCTTTCTTCTGCAAACTTTTTGGACATTTTTCCTTTCATTTGGACTCATTGTTTCTGTGTATCTTCATCTTTCAAAGTAAATTCTATGAAGCCTCCCTGACCTTGCCTCCTATTGGTTTCTTAACTTCTGAATTTTTGCTACATTTTGATAGAGAACCAGCAATCCCTATGTTTTGAATTGTGTATTTCTATCAGCAGAATGCTTTTGATACACACAGATTTTTATCAAAATATGTATCTGCAGTTACTCTAAAACATTACACAGAAATAAGAAAAATATAAAAGGTAAAATATAAAGGAAATGCACAGTATTTTATAAATATGCTAGTTGTGAAAACAGCATGTTATTATTAGCTTATATGTCAAAGAAAAACATTCGCTAGGGACACAATCCATTTTTAATTCTAGTAATTTTTCAAAAGTTTTATCCTTTTTTATTTTAAAGAGAGCAAAACAAAATAAAACAGAACAAAGCAGATCAGAGCAAAATAATGCAAGTAACACAGGATTTCAAAATAAAACAACAGGATATCAACAATGGCCACCATAGTGTCTCTTATTTTCTTCAAAATAGTTGTCCATAACTTCATACACAATAAGTTAATACAAAACAAAATAGTATAAAACCAATCGAAACAAAAGAATGAGAGCCTTACAGGCCTTCAAAACCAGACAATAGGAAATTAATAATGGCTACCATTATTGATTGTTCTCTTCAGAATAGCTATCCATATTTTCATATATATTGAAATCAAATAATAGAAAACAGACTAAAACCAATAAAATCA